CTTTGCTATGAAAATTTCCTGTTTATAGGCTTATATTATTAATAATTTACGCTAAATCTAGGATATTTTGTCGCTTTCGCAAAAATGTAAGATTTCCGCAAAGTATGGTCGATTATGATGCATTAATATTAAGGAAAAGACAAAGAAATGAAATTATGATGTAATTAATATGTAGTCTAATCAAATGTATTTAAGATAGTTAAAGAAAATAAAGAAGGTTTTTACCTTTTCGCTTTGCGCAAATAAGATATATTGATAAACCGTGAATCCACTTTGGTTCAAATAAGTGGTGAGTTGCCTTGTTTCGCCGGCGAGAAATCCATATAGTCACAAAGGACCGTGACACCTTGCAATCATCATTTTCAATACCAAATCCATTGGTATAACAATATCCAACCAAATATGCTCCGTTAGCATCACTCATATCAGCAGACTTTTGAGAGTAAACAAATGCATTATAATTATCCTTTTTAACCCCAATTCCATTAAAGTAACAATATCCAACATTATATATCCCACAAACGACACCTAAATCAGCAGATTTTTGATAATGAATGAATGCTTTATGTTTATCTTTTTCAACTCCAATTCCATTTTCATAACAATATCAAACATTATATATTCCACCAACATACCCATTTCAGCAGATTTTTGATAATAAATGAATGCTTTATTTTCATCTTTTTCAATTACTCCATCGCGATAACAATCACCAATTTTAAACATTCCATTAGCCTATCCCATATCAGCAGATTTTTAATAATAACCAAATGCTTTATGTTCATTCCTCTCAGCTCCAATTTCATTTTATAACAATAACCAACATTATAAATTCCTTCAGCATATTCCATATTGGCCGATTTTTGGTAATAAATAAATGCTTTATATTCATCTTTTTCAATTCCAATTCCATTTTCATAACAATATCCAATTTTAAATATTCCTTTAACATTCACAATATCGGCAGATTTTTTAAAATACATAAACGCTTCATATTCATCTTTTTCAACACATATTCCATTCAGATAGCAATTGCCCATTTCATACATTCCTTCCGAATTACCCATCTCTGTAGATTTTTGATAATAAATAAACTCTTTATTTCAATTTCATTTTGGCAACATTGTCAAGATTATAAGTATCCCCATATAAGAACAAAATATTTATAAAGAATGTCCTATGTTTATTTTTTCAACACATTCACAAATAATAATAATAAAGACGAAAGGGATTTACACATAAACATGAGCTAATACTCGAGTTTCTTTGTCCGAATTAGCCTGATCGGAAATGTCAGGGTGATTTTCAAGGCAAAGACCCTATTTATGTACAGTACATATTCATCTGATTGTATCGGTATGTGTAAAATGTACGTACGTACGTTATACGTTTATATAAGCATTTCATTAAATACGAGGAATATATGAAAATTCAGTTACATGTTTATTTAAAATTAAAGTATAACACTAAATAGCGCCCCTTAATATTAAATTGTGCTTTAAATTTAAGATCTGTTACTGTACTATATGATTTTTTAAAAAAAAATTTATAAATAATGATTACGACAAGGACACGTAAGTGTGAAATATCAAATTTAAAATTTAACATTCATTTTAAAAAGAAATTACTATAAACATTACTTCATCAATTAGAGAATATGTTACATTTACTAATTATATTGATGTTTGACAACTAGAAGAGATATCGATTCAAATCATTCACCTACAAAAACAAAAAATGTTGTCAAGGAAGGAAATAATAGCCCTGTCAATTCAGATTCCGAATATGTTGATGCCAGCGATCACCAACCGCACCAACCATACCCACTGGATATTCGTAATCTTCCTGATGTCCTGATGAGTCTATACTGGCAAAAACGAAAAACATTATTATGTCAGTTTCATCATTTATAGGCGGATCTATATATGATGATAAATATGGAGAATATGTTAAAATTACATTTCATGTGCATTTACCAGCATACATTGAAAGACACGGTGAACCAGTGATAGTGGGCAATTGTAAGGAATTGGGGAGTTGGGGAACGATTACAATTAAATTGACACAACCATACAAACGAGAATATCCAACTTATTGGCGATCACACACGGTTGACATTAAATTAGGCAGGTATGAAATTAGGTATAGGTATGGTATCTTTAATCAAGGCACCGTGGATTATGAAGGAGAGAGTGATAGACAATACCGCATTTTGGACATAAGAACAAATGATCGATATGACATATGGCAAAAGAATAGTCGTTATAATATTTTGGGCCTTAGAGAATATGCATTCACTAAATGCATTTATGATGCAGTAAATACTGAAAACCTTAAGGATAAGGTTATGCAATTCCAATTACTGTTAGAAAATCATAAGGATCGCGTATTAAATAACACTACTATTGATTTTATAATGCAACACTGTCAAAGTAAAAGAGATAGACGACTTTTTTTATTAAGCACTGTAAGGACCCACCCGAACTCATTTTTCAATTGCCAACAAATTTTCATTCTGATACATTACTTGAAGCACTCGAAAATGTTCAGGAAGATACATTTACATCTGATATTAAACCAATAATGGCCCCAGTTGTCGCAGCTCTAGTTCGTCATAATGCCATTAAAAAGGTATCATTTGATTGGCTTAGGTTATTTCGGGTGGCACAGTTTCTTGATCCAAGATATACTTTTGTCGAAGGATTTATTGGAGAACGTTATAATAAAGAACAAATATCACAATTGTTGAAGGAATGGCCGAGGTTAGTCAAGCCTTACTTGTATCAAGTAGAAGAACATATTTGCATCAAAATTGCAAAGGTATAATTTTTTTATTTATTTTTAATTATATTAATTTATAATTTCAACCCTTTAATTAATTGTTTGTAATTTTTACAGTGGTTGATTTCTTTATGCTCAAATTTGGAGATTCTTAATATAGTGTGGCATGATAGCATTCACCGCATATTAAATATTGATGATGAAATTGAAACCGATGTTAGCGCGAGTCTTTATAGGATTAGTGCTCAGAACAATGCCAGTTCTATAAGAAATAAATCATTTGGAAATTGTATGTGTTGCGAACAATGCAATACTTCTTTTAGCTGGTGCCAAGTATGTGATTCTTGGGAAGCAACTCAAGGCTGGACAAGTGGTGATAAACATATCGATGAATTCATAAGAGAACTTCAACTTAATGCTTCAAACTATGAAAAGGTTATAGAATGGATTCCATTTGATAAACTAACCAATTTGCAGAAAATTAGTGAAAATAAATTTGATGTATTATTTGTGGCAACTTGGTTAGATGGCGTCCGGAAAGCCGAAAAAATCAAATCTAGTTACAAAAGGTCACGCATTAAAGGTTGCAGTGTTAATCTTACAGTAAAACAACACCTAGTTCTCAAACAGACACTTTAGAATTTATAAAAGAAGTAAGTCAAATTATATTCTTTAGCGACAAATTATCATATATTATTATGCCTCTCATATAATATTCTATAAGTTTAAACGACATATGCAGTTAAGTAACTGCGTAATATATGGAATAACTAAAGACAAAGCAACCACTAACGGATATATGATAGTAATGTCAGATAAATCTTATGGAAAATGTTCAGATTGCGAATTATATAACACTTCTCTTGCCTGGTGCCAATTATGTGACCCTCATAAAGCAACACAAGACTGGTCAAGTGGGGAAGAACACATCGATGAATGTAATAAAGAACTTCAACTTAAGGCTTCAGACTATGAGAAGGTCATCGAATGGATTCCATTTTATAAACTAACCAATTTGCGAAAAATTAGTGAAAATAAGTCTGAGGTATTATTTATGGCAGCTTGGTTAGATGGTATCCGGAAAGTCAAAAAAAATCAAATCTAGTTACAAAAGGTCACGTATTACAGGCTGTGTTGTTAATCTTAAAACATTGGCTAGTTCTCAAATGAACGCTTTAAAATTTATAAAAGAAATAAGTTTTAATCATAATTTTACTAGCAAATTACAATATAAAATTTGCTACTAACATGTAATTAATTTGTAGTTTAAACAACATATACAATTATGTAATAGCGTAATATATGGTATAACTAAAGACAGTACAACCACTAACGGATATATGATAGCAATACCAGATAAATTCAGTTCTAAAAGAAAGGAATATTATGGAAAATGTATAAATTGCAAACAATACAATACTTCTTCTAGTTGGTGCCAATCATGTGATACTTGGAAAGCAACTCAAGGCTGGACAAGTGGAAATGAGTGTATCGATGAATGTATTAAAGAACTTCAATTTAAGACTACAAACTATGAAGAGGTCATCGAATGGATTCCATTCAATAAACTAACTAATTTGCAAAAAATTAGTGAAAATGAATCTGAAATATTATTTATGGCGACTTGGTTAGATGGAATTCGAAAAGTCAAACAAAATGGATATTATAGTTATAAGCAATCGCGCATTACAGGCTGTGGTGTTAATCTCAAAGCATTACAAATGAACGCTTCAGAATTTATAGAACAAGTATATTAAAATAATAATATTTATCAATTATAATATATAAAACGCTATAGAATTAACACATAATTGATTTTATAAGTTTAAACAACAAATGCAATTAAACGATAGCACAATATATGGAATAACTAAAGACAGTGCTCCAAATAACAGATACATGATATTTATAACAGATAAATTCAGTTCTATAAGAAATGGGTTTTACGGAGTATGTAAATATTGCAGACAATACAACACTCATTTTACCTGGTGCCAGGCATGTGATCCTTGGAAAGCAACTCAAGACTGGACAAGTGGAGATGAGCATATCGATGAATGCATTAAAGAGCTTCAACTTAAGACTACAAACTATGAAGAGGTCATCGAATGGATTCCATTTGATAAACTAACCAATTTGCAAAAATGAGTCTGAGGTACTATATGTGGCGAATTGGTTAGATGGTATCCGGAAAGTCGAAAAAACTGAATGCAATTATAAACAGTCACGCATTACACGCTATAGTGTTAACCTCAAAACATTACCTAGTCCTCAAATAAACGCTTTGGAGTTTATAAAAGAAGTAAGTTAGAAATTATAATCTTCATCAGTTAATATATAAATTGTAATACTACTAACATATTTTGTAAGTTTAAACAATATATGCAATTAAGTGATGGCATAGTATGTGGAATAACTAAAGACAGCACAACCACTAACGGATATATGATAGTAATACCAGATATATTCGGTTCAGAAAGAAAGGAAAATTATGGAAAATGTATATATTGCAAACAGTACAATACTTCTTTGGGCTGGTGCCAAGCATGTGATCCTTGGAAAGCAACTCAAGGCTGGACAAGTGGAAATGATTGTATCGATGAATGTATTAAAGAACTTCAACTTAAGGCTACAAACTATGAAGAGATTATTGAATGGATTCCATTTAATAAACTAACCAATTTGCGAAAAGTTAATGAAAATGAATCTAAGGTATTATTTGTGGCAACTTGGTTAAATGGTGTCCGGAAAGTCGAAAAAATCGAATCTGGTTACAAAAGGTCACGCATTAAAGGTTGCAGTGTTAATCTTAAAATAATACCTAGTTCTCAAATAAATGCTTTAGAATTTATTGAAGAAGTAAGTCAAAATTATAAACTTTATCAACATAAAATGCTGCACACTTAACATTTAAAATTTATTTTACAAGTTCAAAGAATATATGCAGTTAAGTAACTGTATAATGCATGGTATAACTCAAGAAAAAACAACCACTAACAGATTTATGATGGTAATGTCAGATAAATCTTATGGAGAATGCGCACATTGCAAACTATATAACACATTCTTTGCCTGGTGTCAATTATGTGACCCTCGTAAAGCGACTCAAGAATGGACGAGTGGAGATGAACTTATCGATGAATGTATTAAAGAACTTCAACTTAAGACTACAGACTATGAAAACGTTATCGAATGGATTCCACTTGATAAGTTAACTAATTTGCAAAAAATTAGGGAAGATGAGTTCGAGGTATCATATATAGCAACCTGGATAGATGGTATCCGGAAAGTCGAAAATACTGTAAATGGTTATAAACGGTCACGCGTTGCAAGCTGTATTGTTAATCTAAAAACTTCGCCAAGTTTACAAACAAATACTTTAAAATTTGTAAAAAAAGTAAGTTAAAATTATAATCTTTACAATAAATTATGAAATGTGGTACTGATAATAATAATGAATTTGGTTTTATAAGTTTAAAATTTATTTGCAATCAAATAACAGAGTAATATATGGAATAACTAAAGATAATACAACAACAAACAGGTATATGATAGTAATGCCAGATGAATTTGGTTCTATGAGAAATAAATCTTATAGAGAATGCGTAAGTTGCAAACAGTACAACACTTCTTTGGCTTGGTGCCAAGCATGTGGTCCGTGGGAAGCAACTCAAGGGTGGACGAGTGGAAATAAGGATATCGATAATTGCATCAAAAACTTTCAATTTAAAGCCACTGAATACGATAAGGTGATTGAATGGATTCCATTTGATAATTTACAGAGTATTAGAGGAAAACAAGTTGTGGCAATATGGCCAGATGGTATACGTAATGTCAAGAAAGATGATCATTTAGGTTATATACAGTCAAGAATCCAATTTTACGGAGTAAATCTTATGAAACTTGAAAGTTCAACAAATGCATTGGACTTTATAAGAAGTGTAAGTGAATGGTCTACTTAGTTAAGTTATCGTATAGGAATGCGATACTATAATAATATATGCTAATTTTATTACAGTTTGAAAGCTTTATGCAATCTAAGTATGATGAACTTTCAATATATGGAATAACTCAAATAACAGATACAAATGAATACTTGATTGTATTTGATGGCTTTAAAAGAACAGAATTTTATGGAGTATGTACAAATTGTAAACAATATAATACTTCTCCATTATGGTGCCAATCATGTGATCCTTGGAAAGTAACACAAGGGTGGACAAGTGGAGATAAAGACGTCGATAATTGCATAAAAGAATTTCAACTAGAAACTATTGCATACGATAAGGTGATTGAATGGATTCCGTTTAAAGAACTAAAAGATCTGCAAGAAATTGGTAGAGGAGGATATGGTACAGTATATTCAGCAATATGGTTGGACAGAAAACGAGCAGTATTGAGTAATAGCAATAACAATATGCACAGGTGGCGTGAAAAGCAATATGATGTTGCATTTAAATCGTTATCTAATTCTCAAAAAAATTCACTTGACTTTTTAAAAGAAGTAAGCTTACTTTATTATTTTACTATATGCTTTCTGAAAATAATATTGCTTTGTTAATTCATTATTTTGCGTATTCATTCATAAGTTCAAAACTTTGATGAATTGTAGATTAGGGGGTACAGAACTTGAAATATATGGGTTAACAAAAAATAGTGAAACTGGCGAATACATGATGGTAATTCAGTATGCAAATAGAAAAAATCTTAGTGAGTTCTTATCAAAAAATTTTAGATATCTTTCGTGGCAGAATAAACTAGAGTTACTTGCAAATATAACGTATAATTTATCACAAATTCATAAAGAGGGATATATTCATAGAGACATGCATAGCGGTAATATTTTGATAGATCAAGATCTGAAAGGAATTGTTAAGCCATATATTTCAGATTTAGGATTATCTAAAAAGATAGATGAACATGATTCAGGTGATATTTACGGAGTCTTACCTTACATTGCTCCAGAAGTCTTGTCAGGTCAACAAATTACGCAAGCAGCTGATATTTATGGCTTGGGAATTATTATGACAGAAATGTCAACTGGAAGAAGACCTTTTTATGGTTGTCAATTTGATAATGAACTTGCTATGAAGATTTGCGTTGGATTGCGACCCAAGCTTGCCTCTGAGATTACTCCGGAATGCTATATTGAATTAGTTAACAATGTCTAGATTTGGATCCGCAAAAACGACCTACTGCTAAGAATATTTGCAATAACCTTAATGAATGGCTCAATAAAGTAACATGAGCAGATGAGAT